TCACATAGTCTCAGCATTGTTAATTTCTTGGCTAACAAGACTGACTAGCATTTATAGATGTTTTTTCTCTGTTGAGTTTGCTTCCCAACTTCCTGGGAAATAAAAAGCCTGATGCTAGTCTGTCTACAAGTGCTTCTCGAAAAGCTTCTCAGTTCTCACCACCCTTCTGACTTCTCAGGTGACTCTCTGTTTCTCCCCTGTGGGGAACAAGCTGAGGGTCCGCAGCAGGAAGTTCCCAGCCATTGTGAACTGCACAGCCATCGACTGGTTCCATGAGTGGCCTCAGCAGGCACTGGAGTCTGTCAGCCTCTGCTTCTTGCAGAGCACAGAGAGCATTGAGGTGAGAGGGAAAAGGAGGCATTCCTCAAGATCCTCTCCACCTCAGGGCACAAGGAATTCTGTGTTCAGAATTTCAGGGGTCAAGCTCAGGCTCAGACAGAGTTTCTGGAGCTCAGTTTTTCCACTCTTTCAAGCATGGTAGGCCGTCAGCTCCAGTCTTCACAGCCAGACCATCCCTTTATTTCCTGCTATGATTTCAGCCCAAGGTCAAGCAGTCAATCAGCAAGTTCATGGCTTTTGTCCACACAAGTGTCAACCAAAAGTCCCAGTCTTACCTGAGCAACGAGCAGCGCTACAACTACACTAATCCCAAATCATTTCTGGGGTTCATCAGACTCTACCAGAGCCTGCTGCACAGCAACGGGAAAGAGCTCAAGTCCAAGATGGAGCGGCTGGAGAATGGCTGCTGAAGCTCCACAGCACGTCTGCCCAGGTGAGCCTTAGCGGTCAATCTCTGCTGCCTGCAGAGGGCCGAGGGGGAGTGGGGGCTGCCCCTTTCCAGACAACTGGAGGGATCACAACCGAGGTCCCAACATCATTCATGGTCTTCCAGAGAGACAGGACCAAAAGTTACAGCTGAGCTCCCCCAGCAGCCGGGCGTGCCCTCGACTGTGGTCTGCTCTGCTGTCTTTCACTGACGCGAGAATCCCGATCCCCTGAAGCACCTTTCTCCCTCTTCACCATTTCCTCCCATTCTGCTACTTCCTTTTCC